TCTGCATTTGTTTCCTGACACGCCACGTCCTGCTGCACACTACAATGAGGAAATTGTTTTAAACCTTGACATATTCAGAATCCATAAAAATTATTCTGTAGACCCTGAACAAGGTTATTTCTCCATACATCTACTCACCAGATTTCTTTTACATTTTCTTCACAGATTAACGGGCAATTGAATAAATTTTTCAAAGAAAAGAGCAACACCAACCATACTTGTCAGATTCTTTAATAGTGAAATATTAAGGAAGCTCGTTTTTTCTACTCGATTCAAATGTTTTGAGTGGCTGACTCCACCGATTATCAACAAACCTTCTTCTTATTCTTGTAGTCAGGCTGAATCAATGTCCTCGATGTAGCTGTTGGTTGGTGTTGTTGCAAGGCTTCATCTTTGCCGATTTGGGTTGTGGGCACATAACTGCGGGTCTGTCCACCGGTACAGTGTGGTTCTGGGCCATTATCTGTACAATTAACACAGGAAGAAACTTGTGGTGCAGTGCTAGAGCAAAACTGTAGTTCATAGATATTGATTATTGTCTTGTTTATTCTCGGGGCCAGTGTTTGCAAACACTGATTGGGGAATTATTGTTAAAACTGGTTATACTTTTTGTATTATTTTGTTTAAATAAACTATTTCAAAAGAAAAAATAACAACATTCGACGAATGACATTTGACATCATGTTTGTGTCCAGAGCGATAGAATCAACATGGCAGGGAAAGGCGGCTGCCTACTCATTCGACGAATGACATTTGCCGCCATCTTTGTGCAATGCTTAGAGCAAACATGACACGGAAAGAACGCCTGCATACTCATTCGACGAATGACATTTGCCGCCATCTTGTGCAATGCTTAGAGCAACCATGACACGGAAAGAACGCCTGCCTACTCATTCGACGAATGACATTGCCGCCATGTTTGGCCAATGACAAGTCGGTGCTAATCAACAACCAACCTATATCACAAAAATACTGCATTTTAAAAACCTATATTGAAAGCACCAGTTCACATTTTATTGCTTGACACGGCGATCCAATGAAGTTCTTTGAAACGGGTGGCTTGATGAGATCATTTGTAAGCTGGTCCGACTAGTTTCTTCATTTCGTACCGGACTCTTCGGATGATTCTGCATTTGTTTCCTGACACGCCACGTCCTGCTGCACACTACAATGAGGAAATTGTTTTAAACCTTGACATATTCAGAATCCATAAAAATTATTCTGTAGACCCTGAACAAGGTTATTTCTCCATACATCTACTCACCAGATTTCTTTTTACTTTTCTTCACAGATTAACGGGGCATTGAATAAATTTTTCAAAGAAAAGAGCAACACCAACCATACTTGTCAGATTCTTTAATAGTGAAATATTAAGGAAGCTCGTTTTTTCTACTCGATTCAAATGTTTTGAGATCTACAGTCAAACTTCGTGCTTAACTGCTCTTTTTTTGCAAAGCTGAAAATAAAAAGTTCCATTATCGTTACATCAACAATTGCTTGAAAGCTTGAATGCATTGTGGATTGTGCAATGTGTAAAAATATAAATTCCCATAGTCTCTGTCTTTGTAAATATTCAGTCGAACTTGAGCTATTATTGATGATGTGAAAAATATTACTTTGCATTCTGTTTTTTCGATTTTTTTCACAGGAAAAAGTTACGATGTCCGAATGGAATTTCACAGGACTATTCATGAGTAACAGATTATTATTTCTGGTGTCCTAGAAGACCCGAATTACTTGTTATCAAAGGTACAGTAATTTTTTGTGACTACAGCTATCAAGTTTTGCAGTGGGTAAATCAAAAAAACTGCTGACAGGTGTTGTCTATACTGACCTTCTGACTGGACATTTCATCTTGATTGCACTCCCAATAAAGACAGTGGCTGCTCCACCGATTATCAACAAAACCTTCTTCTTATTCTTGTAGTCAGGCTGAATCAATGTCCTCGATGTAGCTGTTGGTTGTGTTGTTGCAAGGCTTCATCTTTGCAGATTTGGGTGTGGGCACATAACTGCGGGTCTGTCCACCGGTACAGTGTGGTTCTGGGCCATTATCTGTACAATTAACACAGGAAGAAACTTGTGGTGCAGTGCTAGAGCAAAACTGTAGTTCATAGATATTGATTATTGTCTTGTTATTCTCGGGGCCAGTGTTTGCAAACACTGATTGGGGAATTATTGTTAAAACTGGTTATACTTTTTGTATTATTTTGTTTAAATATACTATTTCAAAAGAAAAAATAACAACATTCGACGAATGACATTTGACATCATGTTTAAATCAAATTCAAGCGGATAACCAAATGGAAATGGTATTACCATTTTGGGTTGGTATTTACCAATCCGTTCAAGCGAGTGTAGTTATCAGTTTGGTTATAAGATCCGTGACGTCACGAATCAGCTGTTATATGTCATAGTTATCACCGCAAAACTGTGGTATTTACCCAACTCAAGAGTAGTTTTATGTTTCTGGTTATTATTTGAAATGTGACAAGTTAGAATTTTGCCGGGTATTGGATATTGTTATTGTACTTCAGCTTCATTTTTCAGAAAAATGATACAGGCTGACTTCAGTTTTACCATAAAGTAAAGCACCTTATTAGTTATACTCATTACGGTTGTTGAGGACACTTTAAATGTAGTTCCTATGCTTAACAAAGTATCCTGTGTAGCCCAACTCACTAAATGATATCCACCTGTATACGGTTTTGCTAATTTCTTTTTTCATCATTTCTGCTGAATCAATAATGTTTTCTTTGACATGCGGAAAAATTTAGAGAATTGAAAGTTATCATAGCTACAAAGCCATGGTCCCATCATTAAAAAAAAAATCTGAAAAAAACATTTCTCCCATGAATATTATGAAAGGTTTCTTATTTAAACTTTCCATATATTTACAGTTGTAGACGAAAAAGCACCGATTACTAAGTGATAATAAAATAATCAGAGATTATATACGCGCTTTTCTAAAATAAACAACTTGCAACAAAACCGCGGTTAAAACCAACGCGTTCAAGCGATTCGTGTAACTGACGTCATCAACCCGTGTGTCATCTCGAACCATATTATAACCGCGGCACAAAACACAGAAATTTTGGTTATTCGCTTGGATTTGATTTTTGTGTCCAGAGCGATAGAATCAACATGACAGGGAAAGGCGGCTGCCTACTCATTCGACGAATGACATTTGCCGCCATGTTTGGCCAATGACAAGTCGGTGCTAATCAACAACCAAACCTATATCACAAAATACTGCATTTTACAAAATATATTGAAAGCACCAGTTCACATTTTATTGCTTGACACGGCGATCCAATGAAGTTCTTTGAAACGGGTGGCTTGATGAGATCATTTGTAAGCTGGTCCGACTAGTTTCTTCATTTCGTACCGGACTCTTCGGATGATTCTGCATTTGTTTCCTGACACGCCACGTCCTGCTGCACACTACAATGAGGAAATTGTTTTAAAACCTTGACATATTCAGAATCCATAAAAATTATTCTGTAGACCCTGAACAAGGTTATTTCTCCATACATCTACTCACCAGATTTCTTTTTACATTTTCTTCACAGATTAACGGGGCATTGAATAAATTTTTCAAAGAAAAGAGCAACACCAACCATACTTGTCAGATTCTTAATAGTGAAATATTAAGGAAGCTCGTTTTTCTACTCGATTCAAATGTTTTGAGATCTACAGTCAAACTTCGTGCTTAACTGCTCTTTTTTTGCAAAGCTGAAAATAAAAAGTTCCATTATCGTTACATCAACAATTGCTTGAAAGCTTGAATGCATTGTGGATTGTGCAATGTGTAAAAATATAAATTCCCATAGTCTCTGTCTTTGTAAATATTCAGTCGAACTTGAGCTATTATTGATGATGTGAAAAATATTACTTTGCATTCTGTTTTTTCGATTTTTTTCACAGGAAAAAGTTACGATGTCCGAATGGAATTTCACAGGACTATTTCATGAGTAACAGATTATTATTTCTGGTGTCCTAGAAGACCCGAATTACTTGTTATCAAAGGTACAGTAATTTTTTGTGACTACAGCTATCAAGTTTTGCAGTGGGTAAATCAAAAAAACTGCTGACAGGTGTTGTCTATACTGACCTTCTGACTGGACATTTCATCTTGATTGCACTCCCAATAAAGACAGTGGCTGCTCCACCGATTATCAACAAAACCTTCTTCTTATTCTTGTAGTCAGGCTGAATCAATGTCCTCGATGTAGCTGTTGGTTGGTGTTGTTGCAAGGCTTCATCTTTGCAGATTTGGGTTGTGGGCACATAACTGCGGGTCTGTCCACCGGTACAGTGTGGTTCTGGGCCATTATCTGTACAATTAACACAGGAAGAAACTTGTGGTGCAGTGCTAGAGCAAAACTGTAGTTCATAGATATTGATTATTGTCTTGTTATTCTCGGGGCCAGTGTTTGCAAACACTGATTGGGGAATTATTGTTAAAACTGGTTATACTTTTTGTATTATTTTGTTTAAATAAACTATTTCAAAAGAAAAAATAACAACATTCGACGAATGACATTTGACATCATGTTTGTGTCCAGAGCGATAGAATCAACATGACAGGGAAAGGCGGCTGCCTACTCATTCGACGAATGACATTTGCCGCCATGTTTGGCCAATGACAAGTCGGTGCTAATCAACAACCAAACCTATATCATAAAATACTGCATTTTACAACCTATATTGAAAGCACCAGTTCACATTTTATTGCTTGACACGGCGATCCAATGAAGTTCTTTGAAACGGGTGGCTTGATGAGATCATTTGAAGGGCTTATTGTAATAACATGATAAGCCACACAACGACAAAAATCTGTTTTATTCCTCAATTTTGTTAAGCATGAATATGATAAGCCACAGTAGAAAAGTTGTGACTATTGTCCGATAGATGGAGCCACTATGCCTTGAATCAAGTTATTACTATTAGGCGGCTCTCTACAACCTTCACGTTAAAACGTGATAAGCCACGTCAAAATGGCGACCGGTGCGTATGCACCTCTCGATAATAATCCTATTTCAAGCGATATTTGCAGTTCAAGCAGTGAATTTTATGAATCAAGTGATGATAGTGTGGTTGATAAGAATTTCGTACCATCAAATGATGACGAAAGTTCAGATACAAGTGAGGTATGTATTATTTTTGTTTTTGTGGCTTATCATGTTTTACCAAAACAAGACTATCGCGAATTTGAACGTGGCTTATCATGTTGTTGCTATTAAGAATATTTAATTTCAGGAAGGCGACTCACCTGTACCTACTAAATTATCAAGAATAACTGAAACTACATCCGAAAAAAACTCCGCAAACTCGTTGGAGACAAAGAAGGACGAGAACTATGAACAGGTGAAAGGAAGAGAAGACGCAATTAGGACAAGAATATTCAACAGTAAAGAGCAAGAAACTTGTTAAACCTCGAGAATTGGGTTCACCATGTAGATGCCAGAAGAACTGCCGAGACAAGCTCAGTAATAGCCATGAAATATCTTCACAAAATTCTGGGATCTAGGTTCCTATGATCTTCAGAACAGTTACCTTTTTGGTGCTATTCGAGTTCTAAAAAAGAAAAGATCTTACAAGAAAAAACAAAAACGTCAAGAATCTAGTCGACAGTTTACAGCTCAATATATTGTTAATGTTGATGGTAGGGATGTCAGGGTATGTAAGGTCGAATTTATGAGTGTCCATGGACTGCAAAATTGTCGAGGCAGAATCGACCATATTGTCAAAATGAAGACAACCGGAGCTGTTGTCCCTATAAAAGACGGACGTGGTAAACATAAAAATAGACCAAATGCACTAAGCGCTGACCAAAAACAATCTGTCAGAAATCATATAGATGCTATACCAAAATATCAGAGCCACTATAGCAGAGCAAATAACATCAACAAAATGTATCTTAACTGCGATATGTCCATAGCAAGCTTGCATAAGGATTATTATGTTCCGTGGTGTCAACAACAAAACATTATTCCAGTGAAACAAAGTGCTTACCGTAAAATATTTTGCACTGAATACAATATCGGTTTCAAGCTGCCCAAGTCTGACACATGTAAAATATGTGACGAGTCAAAGATCAAACTTGATATTGTCAAATCAAACAACGATGACAAAGAGGAACAAAGGCTAACTACTTCCTTGACTTTACACCAAATAGAACTAAAGCAATGCAAAATTTGCTGAAATTAGAGACAGACCGATCAAAAAGTACAACAAACGTATGTGTTATCAGTTTTGACTTACAGCAGGCAATGCCTATACCCAAGCTTACAACAGGCCCAGAATTTTATTGCAGAAAAGTTTGGCTCTATAACCTTGGAGTACACGATTGTACTGCTCAACAGGGTCACATGTTTTTGTGGACAGAAAATCAAGCCAAACGTGGAGCGGATGAAGTTGCTTCTGTACTTTTTAAATTTCTTAAAGATAAAAAGGATGTAGATCACCTTGTTGTATTCACGGATAACTGTCCTGGTCAAAACAAAAATTGGCAACTTATGGCATTTTGGTTGCAGTTAGTTAAAGAGAAATGGTTTAAAAACAATAACACATCATTTTCTTGTTACTGGACATACCCACTTGCCGTCGGACGGGACTTCGCGTTGATTGAAAAACGGCATAGAAAATATGCTCCTGAAGTGTATTCCCAGAAGGTTGGCACAAAATCATCAAAGATGCTAACAACAAGAATCCTTTCAAGGTCACAGTTATGCAGCAAGAAGATTTCCTCAAATTTGAACTATTGTTGGCCAATGTTCAAAAGAGTACTCGCATGAGTAACAAGGAAAATTTAGACTTCTCTGGTGTATATACCTTCCATTTTAAAACAGAAAATACAAAATCTTTTTTTGTTAAGCACTCTGTAAACGGTGAGTATAACGAAGTGAATATTACAAAAAAGGGTAGGCCTGTGAATACACCCTTATGTCAGCTGAAAAATAAGTACATGGAACCTATAAAAATTTCAAAGAAGAAACTTAAAAATGTACAATCTCTTTTTCCATATATACCCCCAATACATCTACCCTTCTTCAATGGACTAACCTCCAGAGAAAGTGATGAAGAAGATGTTGAAATCGTATAGCAGAAAAGTGCGGTAGAGTTTATAATCCTCATTTCCTTATAAAAATATTACTGTATTTTTTTATAGGCAATAATCTGACAAGCCACATTGTTTTTGTAAAAAAATTTTTTTTGGGATATCAGTTGTCTTTTTTTCACTCTTCCTCAACAAATTCAACAGATACGGATTTAAAAGCCTCAAAAAAAATTATTCAAGTTTAATTATGATAACGTTGATTTTTCACATTTTTCCAAAACTTAAAAGTCAAATAACTCCTTATTATGCTTTTGTGGCTTATCGCGTTATTACAATAAGCCCTTCATTTGTAAGCTGGTCCGACTAGTTTCTTCATTTCGTACCGGACTCTTCGGATGATTCTGCATTTGTTTCCTGACACGCCACGTCCTGCTGCACACTACAATGAGGAAATTGTTTTAAACCTTGACATATTCAGAATCCATAAAAATTATTCTGTAGACCCTGAACAAGGTTATTCTCCATACATCTACTCACCAGATTTCTTTTTACATTTTCTTCACAGATTAACGGGGCATTGAATAAATTTTTCAAAGAAAAGACCAACACCAACCATACTTGTCAGATTCTTTAATAGTGAAATATTAAGGAAGCTCGTTTTTTTCTACTCGATTCAAATGTTTTGAGATCTACAGTCAAACTTCGTGCTTAACTGCTCTTTTTTGCAAAGCTGAAAATAAAAAGTTCCATTATCGTTACATCAACAATTGCTTGAAAGCTTGAATGCATTGTGGATTGTGCAATGTGTAAAAAATATAAATTCCCATAGTCTCTGTCTTTGTAAATATTCAGTCGAACTTGAGCTATTATTGATGATGTGAAAAATATTACTTTGCATTCTGTTTTTTCGATTTTTTTCACAGGAAAAAGTTACGATGTCCGAATGGAATTTCACAGGACTATTTCATGAGTAACAGATTATTATTTCTGGTGTCCTAGAAGACCCGAATTACTTGTTATCAAAGGTACAGTAATTTTTTGTGACTACAGCTATCAAGTTTTGCAGTGGGTAAATCAAAAAAACTGCTGACAGGTGTTGTCTATACTGACCTTCTGACTGGACATTTCATCTTGATTGCACTCCCAATAAAGACAGTGGCTGCTCCACCGATTATCAACAAAACCTTCTTCTTATTCTTGTAGTCAGGCTGAATCAATGTCCTCGATGTAGCTGTTGGTTGGTGTTGTTGCAAGGCTTCATCTTTGCAGATTTGGTTGTGGGCACATAACTGCGGGTCTGTCCACCGGTACAGTGTGGTTCTGGGCCATTATCTGTACAATTAACACAGGAAGAAACTTGTGGTGCAGTGCTAGAGCAAAACTGTAGTTCATAGATATTGATTATTGTCTTGTTATTCTCGGGGCCAGTGTTTGCAAACACTGATTGGGGAATTATTGTTAAAACTGGTTATACTTTTTGTATTATTTTGTTTAAATAAACTATTTCAAAAGAAAAAATAACAACATTCCACGAATGACATTTGACATCATGTTTGTGTCCAGAGCGATAGAATCAACATGACAGGGAAAGGCGGCTGCCTACTCATTCGACGAATGACATTTGCCGCCATCTTTGTGCAATGCTTAGAGCAAACATGACACGGAAAGAACGCCTGCATACTCATTCGACGAATGACATTTGCCGCCATCTTTGTGCAATGCTTAGAGCAACCATGACACGGAAAGAACGCCTGCCTACTCATTCGACGAATGACATTTGCCGCCATGTTTGGCCAATGACAAGTCGGTGCTAATGAACAACCAAACCTATATCATAAATTACTGCATTTTACAACCTATACTTGACGATAAATTGTTGTTCTTCACTGAAAAGATCAACAATGAACTAACCAAATCCTTGAGCTCACACCTTAACTTGATTCAGGGTAAACTAATAAGGAACTTCTCAATTGCATGAAGATTGAGATGAAGACATATGCAAGTAAGTTGTCCAAGCCCCCAATAGTCCATGAAATCACACAAGAGCAAACGAGTAAAGCTATCAATGATGCATTGGTTTCTATCAATGGCCCTCCTACCTGCTCAACTGCAGTCTCCATTAAACCTGGTCCCATCAAGCAATCTGAACATTCAACAGGTCCTAAACAACTTGGTAACTCTAACACTCTTGTCAGGGGTACAAACAAAACTTCAACTGGAATTGTAGCAGCGGAGGAACAGTTCTGGTGTTATATAGGCAACCTGGAAGCAGGAACCACAACTGATCAATTACTAAATTATCTTAAGTCCAACAACATTGAAGCCTTAACCTGTGAGAAACTGTCGTCTCAGAACCAACATGTGGTGGCATCTTTTAAGCGCTCTCCGTGAAACCTGGTGTCAAGAATACATTATTTAATAGCGACATATGGCCTGAAAATGTGATTGTCAAGCCATTCAATTTCCCTAGAAGAAATCAACCATTACCATCAGCACAAGGTAGACGCTTTTTAAAAGGCTCGCCCAGCCACGGCGCAGGAATTAACCCTATCAATGATATTAGGATTTATTACCAGAACATTAGAGGCATCAGAACTAAATTGAATGAATTTTCAAACAACGTGTCCATGGCATCATATGATATAATTATACTTAGTGAAACCTGGTTAACACCAGAGTTTAATGACTCATTTTATTTATTTAATATCAATAACATCCAACAAAGACCATATACAAAAAATTATAAATACACATAATATATAATACAGCAATATAATTCCTCTTCATCAAGGACATCCTGATGACAGAAAGATGCACCTAGATGGTTCAAACCACCTGTATGTGCTTTCATCATCCGGACTTACAAATCAGAAGAATATGCTATTTATTGGATTATAAAATACAATATAAAAAAACAATAATCAACCTCAATATCCCGAACAATAGTTCAATCGTACTATCAAAAATCATTAGAAAAACCTTTCAAATTGTGCAGTATTCTCAAAAATATATTCTCTGCAGCTGGTGCTAAATGTTTTTCAACTTTTTCAAGTGTTCTGGCAGAATGTTATATATCTTTGGTCCTATATACGTTATGTATCTTAAGTTTAGGTTATTGTTATTCTTGGGAATCATTTGCCGCCATGTTTGGCCAATGACAAGTCGGTGCTAATCAACAACCAAACCTATATCATAAAATACTGCATTTTACAACCTATATTGAAAGCACCAGTTCACATTTTATTGCTTGACACGGCGATCCAATGAAGTTCTTTGAAACGGGTGGCTTGATGAGATCATTTGTAAGCTGGTCCGACTAGTTTCTTCATTTCGTACCGGACTCTTCGGATGATTCTGCATTTGTTTCCTGACACGCCACGTCCTGCTGCACACTACAATGAGGAAATTGTTTTAAACCTTGACATATTCAGAATCCATAAAAATTATTCTGTAGACCCTGAACAAGGTTATTTCTCCATACATCTACTCACCAGATTTCTTTTTACATTTTCTTCACAGATTAACGGGGCATTGAATAAATTTTTCAAAGAAAAGAGCAACACCAACCATACTTGTCAGATTCTTTAATAGTGAAATATTAAGGAAGCTCGTTTTTTCTACTCGATTCAAATGTTTTGAGATCTACAGTCAAACTTCGTGCTTAACTGCTCTTTTTTTGCAAAGCTGAAAATAAAAAGTTCATTATCGTTACATCAACAATTGCTTGAAAGCTTGAATGCATTGTGGATTGTGCAATGTGTAAAAATATAAATTCCCATAGTCTCTGTCTTTGTAAATATTCAGTCGAACTTGAGCTATTATTGATGATGTGAAAAATATTACTTTGCATTCTGTTTTTTCGATTTTTTTCACAGGAAAAAGTTACGATGTCCGAATGGAATTTCACAGGACTATTTCATGAGTAACAGATTATTATTTCTGGTGTCCTAGAAGACCCAAATTACTTGTTATCAAAGGTACAGTAATTTTTTGTGACTACAGCTATCAAGTTTTGCAGTGGGTAAATCAAAAAAACTGCTGACAGGTGTTGTCTATACTGACCTTCTGACTGGACATTTCATCTTGATTGCACTCCCAATAAAGACAGTGGCTGCTCCACCGATTATCAACAAAACCTTCTTCTTATTCTTGTAGTCAGGCTGAATCAATGTCCTCGATGTAGCTGTTGGTTGGTGTTGTTGCAAGGCTTCATCTTTGCAGATTTGGGTTGTGGGCACATAACTGCGGGTCTGTCCACCGGTACAGTGTGGTTCTGGGCCATTATCTGTACAATTAACACAGGAAGAAACTTGTGGTGCAGTGCTAGAGCAAAACTGTAGTTCATAGATATTGATTATTGTCTTGTTATTCTCGGGGCCAGTGTTTGCAAACACTGATTGGGGAATTATTGTTAAAACTGGTTATACTTTTTGTATTATTTTGTTTAAATAAACTATTTCAAAAGAAAAAATAACAACATTCGACGAATGACATTTGACATCATGTTTGTGTCCAGAGCGATAGAATCAACATGACAGGGAAAGGCGGCTGCCTACTCATTCGACGAATGACATTTGCCGCCATGTTTGGCCAATGACATGTCGGTGCTAATCAACAACCAAACCTATATCACAAAAATACTGCATTTTACAACCTATATTGAAAGCACCAGTTCACATTTTATTGCTTGACACGGCGATCCAATGAAGTTCTTTGAAACGGGTGGCTTGATGAGATCATTTGTAAGCTGGTCCGACTAGTTTCTTCATTTCGTACCGGACTCTTCGGATGATTCTGCATTTGTTTCCTGACACGCCACTTCCTGCTGCACACTACAATGAGGAAATTGTTTTAAACCTTGACATATTCAGAATCCATAAAAATTATTCTGTAGACCCTGAACAAGGTTATTTCTCCATACATCTACTCACCAGATTTCTTTTTACATTTTCTTCACAGATTAACGGGGCATTGAATAAATTTTTCAAAGAAAAGAGCAACACCAACCATACTTGTCAGATTCTTTAATAGTGAAATATTAATGAAGCTCGTTTTTTCTACTCGATTCAAATGTTTTGAGATCTACAGTCAAACTTCGTGCTTAACTGCTCTTTTTTTGCAAAGCTGAAAATAAAAAGTTCCATTATCGTTACATCAACAATTGCTTGAAAGCTTGAATGCATTGTGGATTGTGCAATGTGTAAAAATATAAATTCCCATAGTCTCTGTCTTTGTAAATATTCAGTCGAACTTGAGCTATTATTGATGATGTGAAAAATATTACTTTGCATTCTGTTTTTTCGATTTTTTTCACAGGAAAAAGTTACGATGTCCGAATGGAATTTCACAGGACTATTTCATGAGTAACAGATTATTATTTC